GGCCGCGGTTCGCGGGGGGCCCTCGGGGCGCCGTACGAGGGAGGAAGCAATCGACTGGTGAGGGGCCCCCGACGGTCGGATGGAGGCGCAGCCCGCTAGGCCACCGGCCCCTCCCCGGGACGGCTCGGGCACCGGCCGCTGCGCGCGAGCCCCTCGCTCCTCTGGCTTCAGGGGGCTGATGGTCCCAGTCCTAGTGCGGTGCCTTCCCCTCAGCCCAGGTGCACCGGCCTCGGGCTTCCCACCTGCCCGGCCCCCAGGGGAACCGGCCGCCCTGCTCGATGGCTGTGCGGTGGGGCGCAGAGGGAGAGGAGAACCGCCGCGGGGCAGGCGAGGGCAGGGGGCGGCCACCTCGACAGAGACTGCAACATCCTTGGATCAATGCGGTGAGGCCAAGCAGTAGAGATGGCAGGCGATGTTATTTATTTTACTTGGATTCCGATTCGGGTGGACCGGGGGACAGGTGGCTTGTGAGTTTGTAACTGGGTTTTACAGCGATGGAGGGGAAGCCCTTGGGTTAAGGGAGGGTGGGTGGTCGAGGGCAGAGCATACAGCTACTCCAGTGGGTTTGGCTGACTTCTTCCCATTCCTCAGCGGGAGACTTCAGGGTCCTTCTGGTCATTCGAATATGTCTGGAAACTTAAGGACTGTGTGCCGTGGCGTAGGGGAATCCTCGTAGGTTTCCAAAGGACGATGTTCCTCCCTAATCTGGGGCGGGGGTGGGGGGAAGTGGAGATACAAGTGGGAAAGGTTTTATTCTGTCGATTGTGGATATGTATTTCCATCGCTTGTGTGGCCTGAAAAATCTGGGAGGAGAAAAAGCCAGAAACCAAATTGTGGCCCAGGGCAGATGCGTTGCAGGTGTTCACTGGGTCCCGAGGAAGTTTGAAGCCTTATTCTCCAGTCGCTCGCTCTCCTCAGCCTGCTGGAGGGCCGAGACCAGCCAGGCCCTGCAGCGTGCAGTCCCAGCCTCCCCTCTGAGTCCTGTGGTACTCTCACCTGGGGCAGCTGGAGGCGGCATCCTCAGTCATCTGTGGGGAGCCCCACAGACTCCAGCAGCCCTGGGCCCCAGCCTTCAACTCCCTGGGCTGCCACCTCTCTCTGAGCAAGTGGACACATGGGGTCCTGCCTTTCTGAGCCCATTGCTCATTTAGATTTAATGACCAAGTGTAAAGTGACTGAGGTGGGTAGCAGGTTCATTTCTTAACATCCTTACATCCCATAATTAGGGCCCTATGACCTCTGAGGGTTCCTTTAACTCTGCTTCCGTCATTATTCTACACTAGAAGCAAGTAGTGTTTCTGTTTAGATTCCCATTTCACAGAGTGGGCAGTGAGTGGAGGGACCTTGGGTTGGGTGGTCTTTGCAGAGGTGGCCCACCTCTGGGGGTCCAGACTTGAACCATGGCTCAGTGACTAGCCAAGTATCCAACTATGCAAGGCCTGCAGCTGGCCAGCACCCTGCCTTCCAGGCTGGACCGTTTTGAGCCACCGGGTCACCTGCAAGGCCCCCCCCAATCCCTTAATGCCTTTTGGGCCAGTGCGTGTGGGGCCAGAAAACCGACATTCTGAAGCAACTGCATTCCCTTTTAGACCTAGTTCCTTCTGTATTAGTGTAGACGTGGCCTTGGGGCCTGAGAGCCAGCAGCCAGGCTGCTAGAGGCTGGGGTGGGTAGTCGGCGGGGTGGGAAGAGGGCCTGGATGGTGGTGGTAAGAATTAGCCTGGCTGGGTGAGGCTGTGGGTGGGCTGGGGGGGTAAGGAGGACAGGGGTTCCCAAAGAGGCACTGGCAGCGCTGGGTGGTGCCCACTGTCTCTGTTTCTCCCCACTGTGGGAAGGAGCCTCAGGAAGGGGCCTGGGCAATGTGGGCTAGCCCACGTGGCCGGGGTCCAGTCCTGTCTGTCCCTTCTGGTGTGGCCCTGGAGTGCGTTCCCCACTGGGCCCTAGCTGCTCTGCCCCACCCCGAAGCTGTCGGCAGGAGGATCTAGCTTTAATAAAGAGTGGAGAAACGAGCTTTTGTGACTGGATTCCGTGTTGTTGCCGCTCCTCGGGGCCCGCAGAGAGGCCATGCAAGACCTCAGGCCCATCTTGCTTCTGCAAGTAGTCTATAAGAGTTTCTCTTTTCAGAAACTAAAATTGGCCTGGGAGGAGTCAGCCCAAGAGAGCTTGGCCCCTGTTGCTTGCGTCCACTATGTCTTCCTGGGAGTCCTCAGCAGGCCCCCACACTGCCACATGCCCTGTGATACTCACACCTGTCTTGGGACATTATTGTGCTTAGGATCTCACCTCCCCCTGGTCAGAGGAGAGCGGCCAGGCCCCCTTCCTGGGGGTCCAGACCCCTCTTCTGAGACCTCAATGCCATGTGGGTTTACCCAGGTTCACCTGCTCTGTGTCGGGGCAAAGCACACCTCCCTGGGGCTCTGAACACCTTTGAATTGATGTGTTGACTTTTCTCCTCCCCACATGGTGTCCCCATGACCAGATCTGACCCTCCCATCCTTTCCCCAGGGATCTGAAGAACACGAACTAAGGAATAAATTCTCTTTTCAAATGCGATTTGGAGGCATCAGAGCAGAACCCAGTATTTCAGTGGCAGATGGATGTTAAGACCTTGAGGATCTTAAAGTTCTTCAGAAAAGTTATTCCCTGATAGAGCTTACAGTTGTCCAGGCAAATACTTTATTTTAGGGGGAAAATAGGCAATCCTGATGGTCATAGAAAAAAAGTAGACAGCCCCCCCCTGGTTTTGAGAGAATTTCCATATCTCTGGAGTCTTCATTATTTCAGCAAATGTCAATGTAGCATCTCCCAGCATTGCCAAGGAGAAGTGGAAGCCCCCAGTGACCCGTGAGATGTGACCCATGAAAGGTGATGTTTTGAGAGTCACGAGGCCCTGAGCACCCTCTGGTCTCCAGTTAATCTTCATTGCTTGAATTTCCCCATCCTCCTCCCTTTTTCCTGACTCTTCACGTAATCTCGTCAAACATTTCCTTCTTTTTTTCTTTCCCTAGTTGGCTACATATGGAATAAAGTATTTTGAAATTTTGGGTTATATTTATTAAATAAAGCTTTATGATCCTTGTACACTAATTTTTTTCCTGATATAAAATACATGCTGTTTGTAAAAATTTCCAACAGTACAAAACTGTGTTGTTAATCATACACTTTTCATTTCCTAAAGTCACACCAAATCCAGCCATCAGGCACCACGGTTGCTGCAGGAGGTGTGGGAGCACGTTTCTTCGGTGTGCATGGAAATGTTTTAAAACCAGTGACATACTTTATATACTCTCTCACAGCTTGCTTTTCTCATTTAGGCATGTAACATTCTTCTTTCCTACCTGACAGAGCATAGTATTTCATTTCGTGGATGTGCCATCTATGTAACTGCTCCTCCATCAATGGATATGTGGTTGTTTCCAGCTTCTGACGTTGCAAGCAATGCTGCAATGTAGATTCTTGTGCATGTATTTAGGCAGTTACGTAGTTTTTGTTTTTAGTTGGTTTTTTTTTTTGACAGAAGTACTGGGGCTTGAACCTAGGACCTTGTGCATGCCTAGCACACAAGTTACCACTGAGCTATACCCACCTCCTCCCCTTTTTAAGATTTTTTTTTCACTGGAGGTACTGGGGATTGAACTCAGGACCTCACACATGCTAAGCACATGCTCTACCACTGAACTATACCCCGCCCCTCCTAGAGTTTTAATGCATCTGTTTACTAGGTAAAGTTTTAGAAGTGCTGTTGCTGGTTCAAAGGGCATGAGTATTTAAAGTTTAGGATGTAGCTAAATTGCCCCCTAAAATGGCTATTTCCAGTCCCGCACCGTCTTCTCCCAGCGCAGTGAGAAAGCGCTGGTGGTCTGTGACCTCCTCAGCGCTGGGCATCAGCATTCAATTTAGTCTTTGTTCATCATTCAGAGCGATGAATGGCTTGCATCTCTATTTCTTTTTAAACATATAAATAGGTTATTTTTTTAAAATAAGCTTTTGCTAAGGTATTTCTGTGGCTGTGGATGGAAATTGCCCCCATCCAAACCGAGATGGCTTCTCTCAGGTTACAGCTCTCACTGTGTGTCCTGTGCTGCTCACCGCAGCCTCCCACAGCTCCTGCAGGGGCCCTGACGCAGACGTCACCTTTCTTTCTGTTCCTTCACTCAAATCAGCAGGAGCTCTGAGCACCTCCCCTGAGCAGAGGACCCTACTGTGGGGGTCCCCTCTGGCCACACCGGGGACATGTTCAGTGGCCCCAGTGCTCAAGTCCGTTAAAATATTCGAATCCTCTGACTCAGTGCTTTGAAAACTAGCTTGTAATCCGCAGTGAGGAATCCATCTTACATAGTTGCGACCTGGCGCACGTGCACAAACACTTCATGACCACTACTGACCCTTACTGCATTTTTTATTCCACCATATTTAATCTATTTCATTAAAAAAAAAAAACTCAACCCAGGATGAGTCATGACCTGCAATGTGGAAACTATAGTTTGAGTTTCCCTAAACTCCAGCCCCCTTCTGAGTGACAGCCTCCCCTAGTCGTGGAGGGGGCTTTCCCAGTGCCCAGGAAAGCAAAGACCAGAGGCGAGGCTGGGAGCCTGCATCAGAAAGACTTCTGTCCAGATGCATGTCGGTCTGAGCTCCTGCATCTAAGGCCATGAGGGGACTAGGGAGGACCTTGGCGACCTGGGCAGAAGTTAGGGGTCTGGGGAGTCAGGACACCGTGTACCCTTCTGGAGGCCCAGAGCCCTCCTTTTCTCCAGGGACTGGGTCGAGGAGGGCAACTGCCTCTTCTCCCTCTTGTCCCCTTCCCTCGCCCGATCCCCCCTCAGAGAGGGGGACGTGCCAGGGCTGGTGACAACAGCAGCTGACGCTTGTACAGTATTTGTGTCCTGGGCGCTGGTCTGAGAGCTTTATGTGAATTCATTCAATTTAATACAGCAAACTTATTATTGTTAGTCCCATTTTGTAGAGGAGGAAATTGAGACACAAAGAAGTCTCTTGCCCAAGCTTTGCTGTGATTCAAGCCCAGGCGGCGTGGCTCTCCAGCATGCGCCTGGCCCTTTTGGGAACTGGAGCTGATGGACAGAGTAGCGGGCTCATTTAACAGAGTACATTTTTCCTGGGGGGCAACCCGTTCTGTCCATGTAGGGTGGGCTGACCCCCCGACGGTTGATCTAGGGGTGAGCACAGGACCCAAACAAGCAATGAGATTGCTTCCTTCAGTATTAAGGGGGAAGAAATCCTCTTTCTGGGGGGCCACTAGGTTGATGAGATATGCTTTTCACTGTCAGCAGGTGCTGCGTGTCATGTGGAGAAAGCCTGTCTTGGATGTGTGGAGAGAGAAGGCTGATGACATCACTTGTGTGTGTCTTTGGATAGAACTGTTGCCCCGGCCCTACAGGGATAATGTTTTGCTCTAAAGCTAGTTGGAGTTGGGTTTCCGTCACCAGCAGCGGGTAGAGGGCTGACCAGTATAGGGGAGACTGGGAGCTTTCCAAACGACAGTGGAAGTTACACCGTGATTAGATGCCCACCTTCCTGTCTTTCCACATTTGGAAGGTTCCAGTTCTCAGAGAGGCATGGAGCCCTGACCAGGACAGCCCACCTGACTAGCACAGTGTGTGATCCCATGGGGGCCTCTTTACACTTCTGAAGGTGCCCTCAGAGGTGGCTGTGCAAGGACCCCACGCGTGATGATCACGGGGGTCTGTGTAACCTGTCTCTGCTTCAGATGTGTAGGTGGTCATGGAGGGGAGGAGGTGGGAGCTGTCTCTCGTTGGTTTTGACTACTCCTGTGTCAAAAACACCCCCCAAATTTAGTAATTATGTGCAGATTCTGTGGGTCAGGAGTTCAGCAGGCACAGTGGGTCTGTCTTTTCTCTGCTCCATTATGTCTGGGGCCTCAGCTCCGGGGAGAGTGGGCATTGGAAACTTATACCTGGACTTGGGCTAGCATGCCCATAGGTGGGCCTCCTTGCGTGGTGTGGTAGCCTCCGAGTGGATGCATTCCAGGGATCTGAGCATGTTCCACACTCAAGGCAGAAGCTACATGACCTTTTATTACCTCACCTGAGAAGTCACGTAGTGTCACTTCTACCCTATTCCATTGGTCAAAGCTAATTCAAGGGGAGGGACATAAAACCCCAACTCTCAATACTAGAAATGTCAAAGAATCTCATGGTCATTTTTTTAACTGCCATGTCTATCATTCCTCATCCTGGGTGTTAGCCCCTAGAATAAAGCCATCTTCATTCGGATTTTTAGGAGAGCCTCAGCAGAACAGCTCCCCTCCTCTCTGCTCTTCCTAAAGGGAAAACTTGGCACATGTCAAACATACAGGCATCTCCAGGAATCCTTAGATATGCAGAGAGATATTCCTGAATATCTATTACTCTACCAAGAAGAGTCCACCAAGGACCTCTAGACATTTGAAGCAATCACTTTCACGAATATGTTATAAATATCTTTTCTTAGTTTGTCTTTAAACTTTCTTCCAATTTTTAATCTGAAACTGAAATGTGTAACTTTCTAAAATAAAATCAGTTTTTAGCTTAATGGTTTCTCAATTTGTTGTCATATGTTTTCCCATCCATTGATTTTTATATCCTAAAATTCACTATGCTTTAAGAATTTTCTTTTGAATTTTAAAATCTTGAAACCAGATAAAACTTATTTACTCTAATGTGTGAGCTAGGGATTTAACCCTAATTGTATGTGTGTGTGGCACTGGTCGAACTAACATAACGTTTGGAGTACTTCCCACCAATCCCAAAGGTCATTTGGTGAAGTGTTAAATACCCTTTGTCCTAGGTCGGTTCTCTGGGTCCTCTTGATCCTTTCGAATTTTTTCTTTATAGTAAAAATGTCAGAAAGATGCCCGCCTCACAGTTCAGTACAGCCATCTCCGGGAGAATGTGTGAGATACTCTTTTTTTCCCTCTTCATTTGTATGCATTTTGATCTACGTTCAGTTTTCGTGTATTGCGTCTTAAATTTTGTCCCCCTCTCTTCTTTTTCATTCCCGTTTTAAAAACTGCTTGTCTGGACCATTGGGTTAAAATTTTCATCGGTGTTTTTGAATCTCTCCCTCGCTTAGCGGCTGCGAGGAGGCCCCCCCCATCTGCAGGCTGGGGCGGTGGATGACAGGCGAGCTAGGGTGGGGGTGATGTGGGGCGGGGGCGTGGAGGGGGAGGGGCGGGGTGAAGTCGGTGGAGGAGAGGTGACGGTGATGTGGGGAGGGGTGGAGTGGTGTGTGAGCAGGGGGATGTGAGGAGAGGATTGGGGGATGTGTGTTCGTGGGGGTGACGTGGGAGTGGGGAGTAAGGCGGGGCAGGCATCGCGC